CCCCCCCCCCCCCCCCCCCCCCTTGTGCGTTTATCCCGCAAAACGCCTCTTCGCGCACGCGCCTGTTGAACTCCCTCCACCGGCACGGAGGCAGATGCACAACGGGACGGTGGAGCGAAACGCCTCGCGTGGTGACAAAACAGTATGCTCACCCTCCCCCCCCTTCCCACCTTCGCGTTGACCCCGCAACACGCCTCTTCGCGCATGCGCCTGTTGGACCCGCGCGGCGGCAGACCCACGAGGCAACGGTGGAGCGAAACGCTTACCCGTCCCCCCTGAACTACTACAACTTCCCGAAGAGCGTGTGCACGTCTGTCAACGAGTGCATCTGCCACGGGATCCCGGACATGCGCGAGCTTAAGGACGGGGACATCGTGAACGTGGACGTGACCGCGTACTTCGGGGGTTTCCACGGCGACCTTAACGAGGTGAGGTGTGTGCGCGCTGCGATGTGTGTGTGTTCTTTGTTGTCCGGCGCAGCGACGCAGCAGCTCCCGCTCTTGCTCGTACCGTCCTTTGTGAAGTGTCTAGGCGTCCTGCTGTCGGCTATGTTTTTTTCTTTTGTTGGTCCTACGCAGCAGGTCCCGCTCATGACCGTTCGTCCGTCCGTTCGTTAACGAAAGCGGGCATGGCGTTGGGGAGTCGTCCTCCTGACCTGACTCCCTCTTCGTGCGTTGGGGCTTGCGCTTGACGCGGCTGGGTTTGTTGAGCGCTACGCAGGAAGAAGCTAACGGAGACGCTTCCTCCCCCTCTTCCCCTCACCGTTCTTGCCTCCAGACTTTCATGGTTGGCAAGGTGGACGACGAAAGTGCGGGGCTAGTCGAGACGGCGTACCGATGCCTGTCCGCCGCGGTGGACATGGTGCAACCGGGGGCCATGTACCGGGACTTGGGGGCGAGCATCGGCAAGATCGCCAGGGAAAACGGTGAGGCGTTTTTTTTTTTTTTTTGTCGAAAATTGCGTATCCGCAAGTGGAGATTAATAAATGCCCAAAGCAAAACACACCCAACAAAAAACAAAACACACCCACCCACCCGATGTTTTTCATTGTATACCAATGATATTTTGAGTCGGCATGTCGATCTTGGGTAGGAACCATTTCCTCCAGGAGCAAGGGTCCGCAAAGCATCGGCCGGTTGAATGTGAGCAGTTGTACGGTAGGTGACATGACACAAGATGACACGCCTCCACACCCCCTGGACCGATTTTCAAAGCTCGATTACTCCACTGTAGAAAGGGTGGCGGCACCTAAAATGGCGGCGTTCGAACTGTCTCATCGAGATATTCCCGAATGCAACTCATTTGATTTAGTCATCCTCTTCGTCCTGGCGTACTCGAGCTTTGAAAATTGGTCCAACGGGGTGTGTTATCTTGTGTCATGTCACCTACAGTATCCTTGTCTGTCCTGGTGAAGTGCGGGTGGAGATGTTTCCCGGGGGTGTTGCTATGGGATCGCAGGAAGAACGCCAGTCAAATGTTGCACACATCGGACAGATCATGATCTAGATGATCTGTGGTCTATAGATGAAGCGTTGGAAGGATGATAGATGATGTGTGGAGCGTAGATCAAGTGCACGCAGGTATCATCGATGATCTGCGGATGATAGATCAAGAGCGGCAGATATGTTCGGATCCATCTGTGGCTATAGATCGAGAGTCGGATATATCACAGATGATCTATGGATTCTAGATAATGTACAGGAGACAATTCGCAGATCCATCTGCGTCCATAGATCAAGAATCGGAAGTATCACAGATGATCTATGGATTCTAGATCAAGAGCGGCAGATATGTTCGGATCAATCTGTGGCTATAGATCGAGAGTCGGAAATATCACAGATGATCTACGGATGATAGACTAGATCAAGAGCGGCAGATATATCAAAGATGATCGATGGACGACAGATCAAGATTCGGAAATATCACAGATGATCTATGGATTATAGATCAAGAGCGACAAACACGTTCGGATCTTCATATCGGATTAACACTCGAAATTGTCACAGGTGATGTGTGGTCCTGTGGCCTACAGATGAAGAGCCAGATTGTGTTGTTGTTGTTGTTGTTGTTGTTGTTGATGTTACTGTCTTCACGTATAAAAGTGTTCCGTTCTCTCTACCCAGTACCTTCTTCTATCCGCACTAGTCAAACACTCACGACAACACTTGACGCGGTCGATCCCCGTGGTCATGGGCTGACTTACGCCCAAAAGGTAACATAAACGAAAACAATATGGACCCCAAGGGTCCGAGAGTCAATAGAAGTTCACGACAGGTAGTCTTACACACTACCAAAAAGGGCAAGTCGTCCGAGGGCTAGGGCTCCCATCACCGTCCTCAGGGATCACCTCTTGGTCTGCAGCCGAGGCGGCAGCAGAGCTGGCGCCACTCATGTCTGCCATTCTAGGCGAGCGTGGCCTCTGGCGTGTGTGGGAGCTGTGTGGTGTGTGGAAGGTGTGGAAGAGCTCTCTCGAGAAGCTGACAGCGGCACGAAAGATCACCCGCATGATCTGTGGTCTGCAGATGTAGAACGGCAGGTATCACCGATGATCTGTGGTCTACAGATAAAGAGCGACAAAAACCACCGATGATCTGTAGTCTGCAGATGAAGAGTCGTGAATATCACCGATGATCTATGGGTTATAGATCAAGAGCGGCAGATATTTGGTGTTGTGGTTTCTCACATTATTGTTAGCTCTATAGACTAGTCCACAAAAAATGGGGAGCCCGTGGTCTCAAAGCCCGGCACATACGGCGCCGCGGGGAAACAATACAAAAATAGGGTACAAACCACTCGGAAAAAGAAAACAAAATGATAGAAAGAATAGAACAGGTAACGCACCGACCGTTCGAGAAAAGAGCCCTCGGAAACCGATCAAAATAAAACAAAAACAAAAATAAAAATAAGATATGATCGGACCTGTCTTCGTCCTTATATCAAGAATCGGAAATATCACCGATGATCTAGGATTATAGCTTATGAGCGGCGGACAATGTACACACAGATCTGTTTGTGTCTATCGATAAGACACGAAAATGCCTTAGATGATCTATGGATTCTAGATCATGAGCGGGAGATATTTTCGGATCAACCTGTGTATAGATCGAGAATCAAAACATGTACAGATCGATCTGTAGCTATAGATTTTGGTGATCTGCGACCGAAATGATCTATGGCGATCTATAGCGATCTGATCTGTTCTATGTTATAAGTGTCGGTTCGTGGGTCTTCCGGTCTATTGATAGGGCAGAAGCTTTAGCTTTTGAGGTGTTCCGAAAACCTCGATCAAGCGTCCCAAGCCTTCGCGGCGAATTTGTCGTGGTCAATGATGGTCACGTGAAGGAACTCCTGGTCTGCTCGAGAGTAGACGGGACACAAGATTGACCATGTTTCCGCTGGCGGTGGTGGGTTTGTTTTTCTTCATTTTTCGAGCCAACGATGTCTGCGCACTCGTGTAGACCAAACCGCCATTGTGCAGCGCGTCTCACGTCGCCGTCTTGAGGGGGTACGGCACGTGGTACGGGGGTGCCTCTAGCTCATCGAACCACCCTTTTTTCATCGGTCAGAACACGTTTTGTCTTTGTTCTGGGGACCTCGCTCTCTGTCTCTCTGTCTCTCTCTGTCGTCAACTCTCATTTTTCTCGTCTCTGCCTCTACCTCTTTTCACATGTGGACAGAACACTTCAGTTCAGCCCATTTCTCTGGGGGGGGCAACTAAGACCAACTTGCTTGTTCAACAATGCACTCTTGCTGATTTATTTGTTTAGAGAGCAGCTTGCTTGTTCAACACTGGTACAATACCCTCTTGCTGGTTCGCTTATTCTATTTTGTTTATTCTCTCTCTGTTTGGACAGGCTGCCAGGTGGTGAAGACCTACTGCGGACATGGCATCGGCGAGCTGTTCCATACGGTGCCGACGGTCCCACACTACCCCAAGAACAAGGCCAAGGGTGTTATGAAGCCTGGCCACATCTTCACCATCGAACCCATGATCAACGTCGGGACGTGGCAGGTTGTTGTTGTTGTTGTTGTTTTTCTCCCATCATTGGACTCTGTCGTCTGCCCCTCTGGCCCCTATCCTCCACTTCTATTAGCTAGACGACCCAACCGGGGTCACGTAGGAGGGGGGGGTTGGACCCCCTCCTGCGGTTCATGCCTGACGTATTTTTATCGTGAGAAGGGTACAGCAATCCCTTCCCTCGCGACTTACGAAGTCGATTATGGTTTACTAACAAACGAGCTTTGCAGCGCGTCGCTTTCATCCTAGACCAGGATTTATTTAGTGAGAAAAAAACTCTCTCTGTCGGGACTCGAAACCATGACCTGGCCCTTAGCAGGCTGCGGGGCTACCCACTAGACCACCGGGGTGACCGGTTGTGCAGGTATGGCGCGGCGGAGGCCGGCCGAGACTTGGAAAGACGAGCGGCGTTTTTTTTTTTTTTTTGACACCTTGTTGTTGTTTCTTGGCCTGTTGACTTTTCTCACGCTGGTGAATCGGAGAGGGCGACCTTGTTCATTCTCTGTTTCTTGGCCTGTTTGTTTGTTTTTTGCGTTACTTTTCTCATGCTGGTAAATTGGAGTGGGCTCTCTTTGTCCATCCTCTCGTCGTCCGAGCGGGCGGCTTTTCTTGCGTGTTGAGCAGCTACGCGTTGAGCTTATGTCCCGGATTGTGCCGGCGGGTGGAATGTACCTGAGGCCATCGCCAGCGGTGGTTGTCGGTGGTTGTCGGCCGTGCTGCATTCGCACACGACAGAGGCACATAGACACCGAGAGAAGAAAAGAGCGGCAAATAGAGACAGAGAGGGGCAATGTTTTGTCCTACCAAACAGACAAAAAAAAAATAACGCGCGACCTTTCCGCCGCTGACACCGCTGCCACGGCATCGTTCCTTTGGTGAGCAGGACAGGACGTGGCCAGACAACTGGACCTCCGTGACGGCCGACGGACAACGATCGGCGCAGTTTGAGCATACCCTCCTGGTGAGTTTTTTTTGCTTTTTTCCCGTCGAACACGCTCCCCGTTTTCGCGCGGCCGACAGGCACCGCCGGAGTCAGAGGCCACCCCTTACGGTTGCATCAAGACACGAAAACGCAAGACATCACCACTGCGCCGACCTTCCGCATGGCACGAGCTGCCACACAGCCAAGAGTCAGGGATCCCGGAATGTCTGAGAAGCAGCCTTGAAAACGTTGCATCACGTGTCCACCCCTATTGTACTCTGATTCACCGTGAGTTCACCGGTTGGTTGTTGATGTTCTCGACGGAGCAGTGCGGTGGTAAACATGTGTTGTTAGCTGTTCGACCTCGATTATGACCATTCTACATACGAAAAAAAAAACGCTCCTCTCCGTTTTCTCGATCGAAAGAGCTCTCGTCGCTCCGTGCGGGTAGGCACTCGGGTCGAGTTGGTTCGCGACTTTTCCGGTACATACCCAACAAAGAGAAATACTCTCCTTCGTGTGACCCCAGACGCCGCGGCTACGTCGTGATCAGCGATGACAACTGCAGTGCTTTGCCAGCGTGTCACCGCACGGACGCGAGCGGTCTAGGTCCATCCCGATACATTGCTTGATTGTGGGGTGAAATCCTCGATTTCCGAGTCTGAAAATCGAACCAGAGGGTTACGCATCGGTCTAAACTATGGCCAGGTGCCTTTTGAGCTGAGCGGAAGAGTTCTTGACGAAAAGGCAACAACACGACGCCACCCGCCGCCCCCTCAAGGAAGGTGATAGGCCACGCGATACATATCAGCTCTCGAAAGTGCATGTGCATGCATGGTACGACCTCGAGGGGCTGACCTGGTTCATCGTGCAAGTAAGTGTGTTCGTTTGTCGTCCGAACGCCGTCGACAACTTTTCTGCCCCTGGCTTTTCGTTTTGTTTGTCGTCCGTCCCCTCATCTCCCTATGTCCAGGTAACAGACCAGGGGTGCGACATTCTCACGGCACGGGACGGAAAGACCTCGATGGAGTGGGACGTCGCAGCGGTGCAAAGGTGATTGGGGAGAGGAACGCGGGTGCCCCCCGGGAAAGGCCGACTAAATACAACGACGGGTTCTCCTGCCGTCATGCCGGGGATAGATGCACCTCATGGAGGGGTTGGGAGCTTGCCCCCCCCCGACGGGAACTATCGGCGGAAGGAGGGGTCAAGAGACTTGTCCCTCGCTGGAAATGCCGCTTCTTTGCAGTTTGTGTGGACGAAGTAGAGGGAGGCGGCAGAGCTCCAAGAGACCTTGGGGAATGTCGTGTTTGGTGAGCCCGCCATTTGGAACAAGCGCGGCACCTGAGGGTCCCCGCCCAGCGAGCACTGACGAGGCATTCGGCGGGGGCGATGGAAGGAGGAGGGTAGGCGATGTGCTGGTGTTTCGGGGATGTTTGTTTCCAGTTGTAGCTGCGTGGTAGCTCTTCCCCTGGGTGTTTGGTAAGTGTGGGGCAGGCGTCATGCCATGTCTTACCTTAAACTAGCTCTGTCTGAAGTGTTCTTTCCCCGTGCATTCTAGAGGCTAGCAGGTGCAGCCTATAACCCTAACCCTGTTGACCTACCGCCGAGGCAACACTGCTGGATGGTAGTGTGTGTCCCGTTGATTTTTGTGGGGAACGGTCTGCCTTTTGTGAAAAAACTCAGCACTGCACGTGGGGTTTGCGAGTTGTTGTTATCAAAATATCAAAATGTCAATCGTTGTCTTCTTGAAGTTTTTCGAAGAGACTTGGTGCGTATTACATTGTGCATGTTCAGCTGTTGTTTGTTGACTAGCCTCCATGGCAAGGAAACGAGAGGTCCAACAACGATGTATGTATGTTTGAGCAGGCTACAGGTGGCTACCAACGGTGTACCATGTGGACCAGCCTGCCGCACCTTGCAACCGCTGCAATTCGGAGAAGGTGGTTGCTCCTTCCTGCATGTGGAGAAAGATGACGTCGAAGTGCAAAGGCTAGTCAATCAAGTGATTCCAAGAGCACGAGTGGCTTGCTATTGGTGGAGTCAAAACGATCTTCACCCATTTCTGTACGTACGACATCATCACATCATGTGGTGTTGATATCATCTGTCACCACCTAGAAGGAGGAGCGCGAAGCGACTGGATACCGGCCCGCTTGCAACAAACAACTACTGTGCAAAACAAGAAGTAATATTTTCAGCAAGACTCAAACAAGCACAAGATGGTGTTTTCAGTGTTACATGCATTATGTAGTCTAGGTGTAGCGCATGGATACACGCGAAAAAAAAATCTGGACGCTTAGGCCACCTCCCTCCACCCCAGGGAGGGTAGTTTCAATTTTAGTCTTATTTAGGTGTTGGCGTGGCGGGCTTCGTTCGCGAACGAACGTATTTTATTTAGTAAGTGATCGCCCCCCCCTACACACATGACTGCGTGTTTCTTCTGTCTGTCCACGGTGAGCCCCTTACGCNCCCCCCCCCCCCCCCCCCGCACGGCCTCCGATTTCAACTAGTAGCGGCCCTGAATCTATTTGCTTGCATAGTCTGTACGTAGTCTACCTCAAGTTTGCTCACTGCAGGTACCTTTATTGTGTAAACGCCGCAGAGCGGGGGAGGAGACAGTTCCTTCGAGAAACGAATGTGAGCCTTGATTTCTCGAGTTGTTGTGAGGATTAAGATTCGTGTAGACAGATGTTCTTCTCATGAGGTGGCCGGCACTCTGCTGCATGCTACTGCTCGCTATGCTGTCCATCCGCAAACAGAGGTGGGGGCTCATGCTCTATCTAGGTGTGGGACCGGGCTGTATTTTCTTTCTTTCTTTTTTGTCTCCCATCATTGGACTCTGTCGTCTGCCCCTTTGGCCCCTATCCTCCACTTCTATCAGCTAGACGACCCAACCGGGGTCACATAGGAGGGGGGGTTGGGCCCCTTCCTGCGGTTCCTGCTCGATTTAACTAGCGAGAAAAAACTCACTCTGTCGGGACTCGAACCCATATCCTCCTTCGGATGTTGTTGCAAAAAGCCATGGAAACCCCGGGGACACTGGACATACATATTTCCGTAGAGGTTGATGCAAGGGGACGCCACGTTTTTTTTTTTGCGATTCTGTTACTCTTGAATTTCTCTCTTCTCGCACACAAGTCCACAAACAAGGGCGGATCATCGAAAAAGATCCGTTTCCCACTTGTTCCGAGACACGCAGTGTAACCTGCATCCGGGACAAAAGACGCGAGGCAGACACCATTAGGCGCTTCCGCAAAACTCCACGTGACTTAGCGACGGTAACAGCACCGCCGAGAGGAGGATCAACTACTTGTTGAGATCCAGAGAGAGAGGCTCCGCCGCCCACACCTCGCCGGCGGCAGCACAGTTTTTTCCAACGGATACAATCAAGGTTGGGTGACGACGGCGTGGAAAATCGACAACCCAAAAGCATTTCGGCGAGACAACATAGAAGAGGAATTCTACAGGAGGCAGGCAGGCACAGCAGCAGCTGCTGCTGTACACACAGCCTGCGGGTGGCCTCTCTAAAACAAAGGGTGAGCACGTCGAGCTTCAGAGCATTGCGTAGGCGGGGTGTCTTCCGCCGCGCGTCGTATCCATACCGCATCCATTAACGTAGTGATAGGACCGTTGTTTTTTCGGGGTGCGAGCAAGTCATCTACTGGTCCTCTCAGACAAACTCTGGTGCTGTTGTTGAATTCTGAAGTCTGAGGTCCGCCACCCGCCAAAAAAAGGTGTTTCTCCCTCTCTCTCTCTCTCTTTTTTTCTTTTGATATTTGAGGCGAGAGTCCATCAACAAGTTAGCCCGGGACGCTCTGCTTCCAAAAAACAAAAAACCCCAATAACTTCTTCAGAGCAGGCAGGCATCAAGGCAGCAGCAACTAACCCTACCGCTGCCCCTGGGACAGCCAGGCACGCTTGAGGCCTTAGTGCCGGAGAGGAGGCGCCTACCACTATAGCAGCGGGCTGTGAAGACGCTGACTGCTCTCTCTCACCTTGTCTAGTGGTTTTCGTCTTGAAAAAGAGAGAGGAGGAGGCGAAGCAATTCAGCGATAGCAGCAGCAGCAGGCTCGGGAAGGGAGGGGTGGAGTGCTGGTTTCAGCATACGCGGAGGGCGGCCGGCGTCAGGGGGTGGACGTGAACCATGACGGGGGCAAACAAGTGCCTGTTCGGCGAGGGGAAGGAACACTGCTTGAAGCATCGGATGTATGGTGAGAACAAGCAGTGTATGTCTTACCATCAAATCTGCTGTCATGGCAAGGACAGACATTTTTGTGGTTTGTGCCCACGTGCGCCCCTTCTTCGCCTCTTTGGTGCCGTAAAAGTAAGGTACGTCCGAGCTACTTCCACCGCTGGGTTTTTGCTTGCACGCCGCCCGCCGTTCTCTCACCACACTTGGATGTTGTCGGCAGCATCATCATCCCTTGTCCCTTTTGACACATCCAACACTGCCAACCAACCGAAGCCCCTATATGCGTTTTCAGTTGTCCAAAGTCGCGGCGGGCAAAGCAAGTTGGTGCGAGATTGTGATGGGTGACGGCGTTTGTGTTGGCAAAGCGGGGGGATGCGACCAACCCGGTATGTGTGTGTGTGTGTGCTCATGGCACCATCTCACCACTCGTGAGACCATCAAGCGCACCGGCGTTCCTACTATGCTATTTTATGTATCGTTCTTCGTCACCACTTGAATCACGCGTGTACACCATTTCGCGTGCATGCACTTGGTACTTCGCGGCTTGCTGCTCAGCAGTCTAGTAATTTGTTCGGACCTGCGTCGGCGGCGGGGGCGGCGACCCAGAAACACACACACACACACACACATTGTTGTGCCTTCGGTGTACAAGCATTACAGCATTACCGCTCCCTCTTTGCGGTGTCTCGGACACCCGGGGGGGCGATCTGCCTCCTCCCGTCATATTTTCGTACGAATGTTTTGAGAGGCATCACGCGAGAGGCTTGGAAGGAAAAGGGTGGATGGATTACTTGCTGGCATTTTCCCTTGGAGTTGTAGTTGCTGCTTCCAGGTTTTCGTTCATGTACAACAGAGTAGCGCTATGCTTTAGGAGAGAGAGAGAGAGAGAGAGAGAGAGAGAGAGAGAGAGAGAGAGAGGCACAGAGTGTGCATCGCGAGAGATTATTTCGTTGCCTGTGATGGTGACGAGCCGCTAAGCTACCGCTGCAGTGTGTGTAGAACACCCGTAGTGCTTCATGCGTTTCGATGCTTCTCGATTACTACAAGTAGGAAATACCTGAAGACAACCAACACCGTAGCAGACAGCAGTCACCGACGGAGCCTGCGCTAGCACATCCCCTCACCTTATTTTTGTACAACTGGCATACCATACGCTTATGCATATGCACATGCATTCATGCAACCAGAGAGAGACTACAACCCCGTGTAACTCACAAAATTGTAGACTCGCATCTACTAACACTTTTTTTTTTCCTTTGCCGACATGGGATTGCCCTGGGTTAGCCGGCCACTCGTCGTCTCTGTCCATGCACCACACTGCTGTTGTGTTTGGCCGATTAGACTGTATAGTCCACAGAATATTTGCGTACGGGGCCTCAAGCCAGCAGAGGGTCGGGTGTACCGCCCAACAAGCGGCAAGTCTTCCGTGTGCGTATGTAGTAGCGTAGCGCAGCAATCAGCAGCTTGCTGCCACATCATTGCCGTGCCCCATGTCTTTGTCAACCATGGTTTTCGGTGCTGTGTTTTGCCGAGAGGGTCGAGGGTCGTGGGAGGGGGTAGAGGGGAGTCAATAAAGGACATCTTCCCTCCCGGGTTGTTTGTGCGTTGCGGTGACCTTCTGGTTTCTAGAAATATGTGTGGTACATGAAGCTTATTACTCCCACAGCTGATGATAGGTAGTCTAAACTCGGAATACTCTTGGGAAGCAAGTACGTGTGCGTAGTCTTCGAAGCACTCCAGCACAATTTTGAAGCAGTGTGTTTGCTTGTGCCGGTCCACGCACTATACTTCTGTACGGTACGTATTATAGCTCTCCCCGCGCACGCGAGAAAAGCAGAGCTCGCGTGCAGTCGTCTCGAAATGTGCACGCACATGCGGCGGAGCGTGTTTTCCTGTAGTACTTCTAGTCTGGCGGCCGGTGTGATTTCTCATTCAACGGAAGGCGTCTGCGTCGGCTGGACCGGTACGGATATTTCCCGGCGGAGACCGGACCCATTTTTCAATGTCAGGACAACACCAGGAGCTCTGGGACTCTTCAGAACAACACGCTGCTTCCGGTATTTTACCTCTCTTGTATGTCGATGTCGGCGAGGCTACCTGCCGTAGGGCAGTTTTTCGCGAACTTCGCAAAAACATGAGCCATGCACGATTTCTTTTGCAGCAGCCCTGCTTCGACGGCTGTGTCATGGAACAGAGAACAGGGACGGGGACACATTTTCTTTGAAATGTCGTATCATATGCATAGAAAATATTTAAAGCCCGTTTTCTCATGTATGCATACACGCGTCAACGAATGATGCTGCATCCGCTGTACACTGTACATGCAGAAAGGCGGACTAAAAGGGGAACTAGAATTTTTTGTTGAGGGTGTGGTCCGCATTCCGAACGCATCTTTCCAACGCTTGGAGACGAAACTTTCCTTCTGGCCGAGGGTTGTTGATGTTGTTGTCGTCACATTAAAAACCGTTCCGATCCCTCTCTACCCAGTACCTTCGTATGTCCGTACTGATCCAACACTCGACGCGGTCGATTCCCGTGGTCGCAGGCTAACTTACCCTACAAAGGTACACTGAAATAAACTGGCCCCGAGGGGTCCGCACGTCAATAGAAATCAACGACAGATATTCTGGAGTCCTCCACTCCCTGTGCGCGCTATGCGAGGTAACAACTGAGACTAGGAGTCACCATCACGGGCCGGAGAGAATGAGGTACACCTCCTTGGTTCAATCTTGGTACTTCACAACGCAAGCAGACAAGGCCATCTGGCACAGAGAAAAAGAGAAAAAAAGAGAAAAAGAGAAGAAAACAAAAGGAAACAGTAAGGCTGAGTCTTACGGCGTGATTATTTCTGAGATTTTTTTTTTCTCTCGGGGGGGGGGGGGGGGCC